TATATATATATATTATTTTGTATTTTGTATTTTTATTTGAACATAAATGAAAATTTAAATATTTTAATTCATCGACTTTTGTAACTTCTATATTTTTGTTTAGACTTATAAAAATGAATTATTTTAGTTTATTAACTTTTATTTTCACTTATAAATTGAAGTATTTAAACATTTAAATGTTTCTAAATTGAAGGATATTAATTAGTATAATTGTTTTGTAAGTATCTAGTTAGTGAATACTTGCACATATGAACATGTACGGGTCAAACACGAGAGCAATATTTATTTGGTACCCACCTCTACCATTCTTAGTCTTGCCATTTAGTGGATCCCAAGTAAAATAGTAAAAATATGATATTAAGAAAATACAGCCATAATTTAATCAAAATTATTTTTTTATTACATAAATCAATAACATAATTTTAACAAATCTCAAAAGCACATCTCACTTTTTTTTTTATTTAGTTTACTTCTATGCTCTGATCATTTATCATCAACTTGTCTTAAATTAAATCTTATATGTATTTTTACTCTATTAATATACTAACTTTTAATTTATCTAGTATTTTAACTTGTATAATGTGTATTTTTTTTATTATCATTGTTAACATTGTTACTTGCATTGTTATCACCAATATCACTATTATTACTATTTATCACTGATGACATTGTTATCATCATATAATAATATTTTTAAACCAATTTTAATAGGATAAAAAAATTTCTTAATAAAGTTTATTTTAAAACTAAAAAAAAAAAAATTAAACTAAAATCACAAACAACGTCCTCACGTCTGTTGCCACTTCAACTTTCCAACCACCAAAAATCGCCAGCCCAATAAACCCGAATCAAAAAGGTCCATGACCATGGTTCTTATAGCTACCACCTTAACGATAGCGTATTTTATTCTTTGAATTATAACTTTCTCTCTTTCGAAGAGATCTTTAGAAGGAATGAGGAATGTAGTTGTACAACAATTTCGTATCATTTGTGACGATTAAAATAAAAGATACAAAGAGGGAAAAAATGAGTTATAAAATAATTTATGTGATAAAGAAATAAAAATAATATTATTATATACCAAAAAGAATTTTGATATTTGGTTCACCCACAATTTTATACATCTTGCAGATAAGTTTTTAATAGTTTTGTGATGGCTTTCCAAAAATTATTTTTTGAAACGAATAAGATCCAATCAATGGGATATGAAAGAAAAAAAAAAAAAAACTGAACAACATTTGAATGCAAAACATACATTTGTCACCATCGAAAAATCTTTGGAGGAGATGATACATAGATTTGAAGAAGATGGACTAAGGCTTGTCTGATGAAAACATATGAGAATGACATATATAGAAATCTAGACTTCAGAAACAACACGATATACAGGGAAAAACAAAAAAGGCAGGAATGCAGATGATCGAGTCGGACTATTAGGCTCA